CAGGCAAAGTTCAGCTAAATTTTGCCGTATGAAACGCATCAGCAGAAGAGGTATTGTTCACTCTGTGAATTCGAGCGGAATAGCTCGAATTATTTTCAGTGAAGAGAACATGAAAATACAGGTAATAATCCTTTATTCATGCCATATCTTTTTTCACTTCAAGCTTAGATATTAAAATTTTGATTACTTAATTACTCAATTAATTTTAGTCACTTAATTACTTGACTTAATTTGTTCTTTCAGTGGTCTTTAGAAACTAAAAGTGCTATCCTTTTCAAAGTGAAAATTTTTAATAAATTGTACCATTTTTTTCTAAAATTTCACGATTCTAAGTACTTTGAATACTTTCAGATTCACTGAAATTGAAAATTTTTCGACTGATTAAATGGGCTTTCTCATATACACACTTACACATCCATTTTATTACATACGCATGATATATATGTATAAATTCTAGTGGAATAGTTCGAATTATTTCCGATATTATTTAGGGAACATTGACAGGGGATAATGGCGAAGTCTTTACATTTCGAGGATGCATTGATTCATCTCAAAAGCGAGAATCATCGTTTTCCTTCACAACAGCCTTCGAGTTTTTGGATAACGAAACTGGCCGTGAATTTAGAGTTTGTTTTGTACTAATTTGATAACATAATTATTCGGGTATTTATTTATTTTTGGCAAGTTTATTGAGATAAATTCGATAATACGTTTGAAAGATAATTTTCGCTTGACAATACACTCATTAAATCCTTAATGAGTTTTCTGGCATTGGCAAATGTTCTGAGCAGAGCGCGAGAAACAGGAAGTATTTGGCATTTCAGATTGATGATGTTGAAGTGCAGTTTAATACTGACCCTAAAACAAAACGGCGGAACTTAACCTTAAACAGTTCATATATTCAGTTCATCTCTACAAAATGCCATAAAGGAAATAGGTTGAGTTTTCAATTCTAACAAATTTTGCTTCTTACTAGGAATGGAAATTATAAAGTACGCTTATACTATGATTATATGATTCAAAAAGATAAGCAAAACCTTCATAAAAACTTTTTTTGTTCCGTTAATCATGATTTTACAATTAAATATTATGTCTGCCTTAGCCAATACCAACGCTTTTACTCATCTTTTGTTTTAGAATTAAATTAGTAAAATTTTTATTTTTGTTTTTAGGAAATTTTGTTTTCGAATTTCAGAGCAGATATGGAAATTTATAAGCACATTACTCCTCGAATCGTTGATCAAAATAAAGAAGTTTTTATCGGTGAAATGAAAATTAGCACAAATATTTTTGAACGCTCAGTAGTATTAGAACGTCGATTAAGTTCAGTGGAAGACGAAATCATAGAAATATCGAATGATTTTCTAGCGTAAAGATAAAACTTCTCAATTTATTATAACATTTTAATCAAAAAGCTTTCAAGCTTTTGTACTGTATTTGCTAAATGATTTTATTTCACTTATTCGATCTTTTATCAACTTGGAAGGATTATTTTATCCAGTTATCAAGATCTACTTTTGTATGATCTAACGATAAGATCAGTTCTATTAACATGACCGACAAGACATTACAGGTTCATTTAATGATCTACAGAATTTTTATTTATGCTAAGAATGAATAATATTTACCGTTTCGTTTATATCACTAATAATTGAGCCAAAGATTCAAATGTGACTATTATTAAGAATCTATGTAGCATTTTCGTATAGTAAAGTACTGCTTAAGAATAAAAGGAGAGGAATCAAACTCTGTAAAAAATCTAATAACAATAAGTACGAGTAATCTTGTTAATTGTAAATATTTGTATTAAACTTTGACTTATTTGTCGCGTTTATAATTTTTATTTTTTTCTCAATGAAGAGATTTTATTCTTCAGATGTTTCAAAAGTAATGGTTTGTAAATTACGCAGATTCATGTCGTAATTTAAGAGTAAACGTAATGGAGAAATAAATTACATTTAAAATTTTCTTGCAAATAAATTTGATATCGACGATTTTCTCAAAAGTCAAAGGAACAAAAAGTTGTAATCAGAAAAATGGATAGTTTCATTTTATTACATAGTTACTGAAATTTAATATGGAATCTTAATTGTGAGAAAAAGATTTGAGATGAGATGTATTGAGGGATACGAAAGTATCACAGAAATTTAAAAATGATGGTTTGAATAAACGTTTTGAATTTTAATTGCGAACAGAATAATTTGTTGAATTGCTGAAAGTATGTGTTACTGAAGTTCGGAAGTTTCAAGCTGTGTTCATCATTGAATAATGTGGCGATGATAAATAAAACTTTTTCGAAGCAAACTTGAAATGTCATCAGAACTCTTCACACTTTCATATAGTAAATTGTTCTAAATTTTGCTGTCCTAAATCTTTGCCCACAAATTCTCTCAATTTAGTGCTATATCAAAAAGATCAGTCTAGAAATCACTAATTAAATGAGATTTCTATAACAATAAAAATACTATTGTAGAAAAAAATAAATCTATTGTGTTAATTTATCGCTAAAATTTGAAACTAATAAGCAATAAATAGCCACAATATATTATTTAATACAAAACATTAAAAGTATTGTGTGAGAAATAAGCAAAATCTTAATAACAAGTCTCTTCTGTTCTGTATGAATTTGTTTAAATGTTGATTTCTGGTATTTTATAGAATGAATAGATGTGAATCAGCAAAATAAACGCATAACTTAATATGAGCACTGATCTCAGACTGATACAATGCTCAATCCAAAGCTATGACTCAATTTTTGAATTACATAGAAGCTGTTTTCTTAGTTACAATAATGAATACTCTGATTTTTCTGAAAGAACCAAAATATGAAAACTCTGCCCGCCTAATTATCAGACAAATTGAATAGTGTTCACTGCGGATTATTGAGTTTTGGTATTGAATGTTATGAGAAAATAAATATATGCCAAAAAAATATTTCTAGTGTATTGCAGAAAATTAGTTATTCATATATGATAATTTCAACATTAGGAACAAAAATTATTTTCACTGTCATTTTCAGATTATTATCTTTCCTTTTCAATTTAATTAAATAAATATCAGAAAGTTATCAAAAGGGCAACTGTATTTCGATTTTATCTAATAATTACGGAACAAAGCTCAAGAAAAACATACAGTAATGTCGGCTAAACTGCCAAACTGATTGATTACTCAGTAATGATAACTGTTAACAAGCACTAACTGCACTTACTGTTATCATTTAGTAACAAAGAATGATAAATATTTTTGTTCCTTTATAGCGCACTAAAATATTCTATTTACAATATGCTTGCAGTTATACCAGACAGAAGGAAAAGGAATCAAAAACTAATAATTCCAATATTGAGCTTTGTGACCTAAATAAATGTTAAAAATGATGTTTGAAGGAGAATATTTGCAATTAACGAATGGATAAAATAACAATATATAAGTACATATTATTATTCTGTCCATTTATTGAGTATGAATACTCTAAGGAATTGAATTTTATTTCAAATTGCATAACATCAAGACACATCGATTCCTTTTCACATTTACTGACTTAAGAAATCAGAATCCTGCAGGGTGACTTGCTGTTTCTCGTCGAAAATCAGAATTTCCATAGATGTAACCATCATTGCTAATTACAAGTGCTTGAATAACACTCTGCACTTTTTCTGTTGCCGTCACGTTTTGTTCTCGAACATTGACCAAATTCTCAATGATTTCCTGAATCCTACTTAATGTTGAATTGTAAGTCATACATTAATTCTTCGTTTACTAGTTAGAAATAATGGCTAAATTTGATTTTGAGGTTGCAAAAAATTACCTGAGGTATTGTCGTTTCGTAAAGCGTTTCAGGAGGTAGAAACTGATTATGGAAACGTGGTTCATCAACAGCTTCTTTTACTGTTTTATTGAAAAGCAAAGTATGAATAACAGCTTGTGCAACGGTAGAAATTATATAAGAACCACCCGAAGCACCAACAACCATTTTTACCTAAGAATACAACTCAAATTAAGTTTAAACTAATACTGATTTAAAAACATGTCATCCATGTCATCCATTTTTTGAGACAATATGATTATAATTTGGTTTTTCATTCAATGAAAAACCAAATTATAATCATATTGTCTCAAAAAAAGCACTTCTGAAACTGTAATTTGATAGGATTACTTCATTATTTATGCGTAACTACTACTTCAGACTACTTTAGTGCTATACCATTTGCTACATGTATGCTTGCACCGACTTCCATACAAAAATTCTGTAAAAACTATCTATACTAACATTTTTCCGCTCGACAAACAAGTCTAATTTCTATGCATTCGATCAAAATGACTTTGTATAAGTTATTGGTATACTGTGAATTAATTAGTTGTGCAGCACAAGTCATGTACAAAAAACAAAAGTAATAAATAATAATTCTTTCAATCATTTTTTATGAAATTTGAATTGACAAAAAATGTTAATAATTAATTACCTTTTTGGTATGTTTGTTGTAAATAATTAACGGTGACATGCTACTCAACGGCCTTTTCCCAGGCTTGATGTAATTTGCTGGCGAAGGTGCATATCCGAATGAGTTGGACCTTCCTGGAAGTGAAAAATCGTCCATCTCGTTGTTCCAAACAATGCCAAGAGTAGGTGAAATACGCTTTGCACCAAATCTATATGGAAAAATATACTCATTTCAAAGAAAATAATAAATACAGAAACAGAACTTTACATTAGTATTATTACAGTAAGACGAGGAAAATTGCTTCTTTGTGCAAAATTATAGAGAAGAAATTTACACATAAAAATATATCAAATGCATAAATAATTTGTGGCAATTAATATCTGAGTTTGCAAAGAAAAAACTTATAAATTAATAAATTAACTTTTCTTCTCTGAAAACCTATCACAAAACAAAACATTTTCTCTTCAGAAATTACAAAAATCATACCTGATCTGTACTTATATTTTCAAAAATATTCACCCTTTTCCCTCTAAAATCATTAATTTTGAACTGTTTTGAACGAATTCAATTCAGTTATTAAAAAATGATAACAAAATTTTATAAATGTATGTATTAATACTTTTTAAATTCAAAATTCAAACTAAATCCTTTTGATATTAAATTTGTTCAAAATGGAAAAAAGTTGGCAATTTTGACGAGGGAAAGACTACAATATAAATAAAGATGAACTAATCATTTTTAAAATTTTCGAGAACTTTCTCAAAAATGAATTCAAAAATTGTTTAAAAAGTCATACAATCAAATATGGTTTGTTTTCTTTTGTAAAAAAGTTTTGTTTTTGTACAAAATTGGTTTCTACAACAATCAGTCACCAATTTAAAGTGACAATTAATATTTTGCACACATTTGAAGACTTTTTTCAAATGAAATTAATTTAGAAATGTCAGAAATAAGGTTTTTATTACCTGTCGAAAAGTTTTACACATCATAACAGTTTTTCTTGAAGCCTTTGGCACACAACAAAATTATATCGCAAAGTAAGCAATATTATTTATTTGATACTCATAGATGTCCATAAAAACATTTGATGCGTTATAATTTACTAAAACATTTACTTTTTAAATTTTGGAACTGCGAAAAAAAGCGACCTTTGACTCTTGAGAAACACTCTATGAACTTAATCTTGATAATATTGCATTGAGAGGAAAATTAAAGTAAGCTAACATTCGGTTAATCGTACTGGTGCATGATACTGCGTTACCTTCCTGATCAATAGCTGATATATGTGAAGTCCCGTGATCATCAAGTTGTTGAACAATCTCAGTAATATATTTATCTAACGGCTGAGCTTTATCTGTGATCAGAGATTTGATTTGTTTTGCATAAGAGCTGTAAAAGTTAGCAGTTATAAAGTGTACAATAAATTAATAAGATTCTTTTAGCCATAAAGAAAGCCAAGCAAATATTTATAAACTAATCTTGCTAACCATAGATTATACACTAAAACCCTCATCAGAAGATTACTTTTTTGCTCAATACCACGATTTAATAATGCAAATTGGTTTTTTGTTTTGTTTTTAGCTAAAATTTGGCTTTGGATATTTGGAACTTCTTCTAAAACAACTTTAAAGGATTCAGTAAATATTCAAATTAAGAACGAGTCCGTTACTAGTATACGATGTCTAGCTCTAAATAATAAATATGATGGGTCATATTTCACGCAATTATTTAAATTCATCGCATAATGGTGCAAAATTATTGTCTGTTTTGAGTGAACTTTGGTAATAAATAGTAAAGAAATTATTCACTCATGTACTTCAAATGTATAGAAAAAAGACTACAATTCATTTCTGAAAATACTCGAATTTAGAAAACAATTTATAACTGATTGGCCTAAAAGTGTTAATGCAAAAATTGCAATATTTAGAAATATTTTTTAGAGGACTCATTCAGAATCTGCCTAAATACTTTACTTTTTTGTCAAATTTAACGCTAGCTGCAAAGCTTCTGGAACAAAGTCTGTGTCGCCAAGTTTCATTCTTTGAGCATATCCAAATTTCTGAGCTTCGATAAAACGATGATAGATCAACGGATCATCTCGATCGAAAACCGTACCACTAATATCGCGATAGAATTCTGAAAACAATAAATTGCATCAGTTTGATCCAAAAAATTTCATATATCGAAAATTATCGATCACTCAATTATTCCAAATTATCACGGAATAATTGAGTGATCTATTTATTTAAAACAAATTTGCAAGTAACAATTGATAAGAATATAATTTTAAAATTTCTGACATTGTGACAAAAATTTTTTGAGTTAATTCAAAATAACTAAAAATCTTGAAATATTCTTACCAGCCATAACTGCTATAATACTTTGAGTTACAGCTGATGAACTTGGTGGTGGAGGCCCACAGATAACTAAATCTTCTATGAATTCTTCAGTTATTAATGGCTCCTCATTAATTACTGTTCGATAATTACTCAAATCATCCGCAGATACAAAACCGCCTGAAAAGATTTTGCAAAAGATAAAATAAAATTTAGCATTAAAAAAAATCATATCAAAATTTGGCACATTTTTGTTGCTGTCTATAAATATTATGTATAAAATACATTTTATCAGAGTAAATTGAATTTAAACAAAAATTTTTCAAAAAAGTTTCTTTTTACTCAAATATATGTGAATATTACTTCCAAATTTAAAATTTACAAGCAGCAGTGTTATTTCACTTATCGTCGAGAAAATTTTAAAAAGCAAAGTAGCAACATTTACCAATATTACAATAGCAATACTATATACGATTGGCATTCAGACATTGAAATGATTCGAATAAATCAGGTCTTACCATGCTCGTCAAATTCTGAAGCTATCGTTTGAGCAACTCCACCTTAAGATGTCAAAATTGATGAGATATAATGGACAAAATATGCAAAAAACGCCCAGAAATAAAGTCAAAGTATATTTAGATACATCATAGTAATGAAAAAAATATATACATTTTTGCATAAGTTATGAGTAAAAAGAAAGATATGTAATATTAAAATTTCCGTCCACAAATTATAAATATAATTTAGTTCATAAAGTATAAATAAATACTTGAAATTTGCCATATTCTTTCTCTGATCAAAATAATATTTAAAAATTGATATCGTTTTGAGTGTAAGAATAAAAATTAATGAGTAAAAAAAATATTACCGCGATAAAATAGTTCAATAGGATCAGTGCTATTTGCAATAAATTGTAATGTTGCACCTAAATGATCTCTTGTGATAATATCACCTTCTTCATAAATTTTTCCTGTTTCCGAATTTACAAATACTTTCCTAGAAAGGGTCAAAAATTCAAAATAGTCAAAATTTCAAATGTAATAAATATCTTCGAGAATGTCAATTTTTTCATATTTAGATGGATAAGTTTTATGGCTACGCAAATTTATATCTCAAAATTATACAAATATGAGTAGCATGAAGTTATATGTTTGAACACAAAATTGTAAGCAAAGGTAGCAAGACTAAAATTACTTCAAACTTGGCTCTTCAAGAATCGTCTTCTCTAATTTTTTGAGATCCTGGGCAAGAGAAGCTGTAATTGGAAATCCTTTCAAAGCTAATTCAATAGATGGTTGGAAAAGGCGATTCCAAGATACTTTTCCACTTCCAAAACGTGAAAATACTGTCCAAAGGCCATGTAATTCAGAAGGCGTTGCAATAGATCGAAAACCTGATATTTTTATCAACTTTGATAAAATATCTTCCAATTAAATGTTTTTAAAAGTTTATATTCTAAAATGAAAATGAACTATTTCTCTATAAGGTAAGAATAATGAATGCTTTAACATAGAGTGTTATTTTATTTCCTTCGACGGTAAGCATTTCCTATCAGTCTATTTTATACAAAAAATATAAAACTTGTGATAAGATTAAAAATTAGTGAGGATTGTGAAGGCAGCAACCAATAGCAGCATCTTGAGGTGAATCGTCAAACATTGTTTCGTTGGCAGTGGCTGGCGCAGTTTCACGTGCGTTAATAGTTAAGCATCGATGTGATGTGCTAAATATATTTGAAATTAGAAAACAATTAAAATGACTTTTTGTCGTTCAAATTTACTTCTTTAAATTTCTGCACTTTACTCAGAGATTAAATATTAAATTTATCCATGCGAAAATTTATTCAGTAAAAGTTTATTATATTTATAAACTTGGCAAAATATTCAATTATTCAAAATTATTCCAAATAAGTTATCATGAAGTAAATTGCTAGTAAGTAAATGAATTGGTGACAATCAGCTATTTGCATATGTTAGAATACTAAAATAACGAGCGATTCATTCTAATAACTACAAATGGAATAGAAATAAATTCATATTAAAAATATCAAAAAACCCAAAAGTGATAATTATTAATAAAAGAAATTCAGCTGAAAAAATATGAAATTTATTATGTGCTGCATTTTTTCTCGACTTCACTTTGCATTTTTTCTCTCTCAAAAACTGCCCATGAAACTTTGTGAATTTGCTAAAAAAGCATCAAATGACTTATGCAGAAGCTATGAAAACAGTGATATTTATCTAAAAAATGTATAGCGAAAATTGAACCGACGCAGAAGTAAAGAAATTTAAAACATCAGAAACATTATTTGTTACTGATGAAAATTAATGGCAAAGTAAACATTAACTAAGCAAATTGCGACTGCATGTTAAACAAGTAAATTGTGATTCAGTGAAATTGAATTAGGCGAAATTTTATTCATTTAGCAAATAAGTTGTGTGCATCTTTGTTTTTTTGAAACTAAGCTGAAATATATAAAATAGCTCACTTGTTATAAATGGTCATGATGAATCCACCTCCTAGGCCCGAACTCTGAGGATTCACAACACCAATACATATCAATGACGCCACTGTGGCATCAACAGCATTCCCCCCAAGCATTAATATATCTCTTAAATGAGAAGTTGATACTACATTTATGGAAATAATTAACTTTTATGAACTTTAAACTTTTCTTTTCAAGCACTGGAAAAATCTGAAAATTCAATTACAATCTGCTTATGCCATTTCACTATTAATATTGCCAAGGAACTGACGATTGTTTTTTTTATAAATCTGGATTTGTTAATAATCAAAATAATGTGTATATAAATTTGCATGCATAATTAAAATACAAGAAGGATTGTTCAGTGGTTGATTGGAGCTATTTAAAATTAATTACTGCTCTATATTGCTCAGTGTAATATCAGTGTCATGATCACCTTCAGGTCATAAATTTGACATTATTTACTTTCACTTATTGTTTTCCTTTTTTGCTGTGCAATGATCTATGCATTACTTTACTAATGAATTCAATGACAAGAATGATATATTATATTGTAAATTATGACTAAACTTTTGAGTAAAATGTACATAATTTGATAAAAGTTTGATACAAACCTTCCAATTTCAGAACAAAATCCATTATCGGATGCAACTGCTGCTCGTTTATAACGGGAATATGAACTTGGACTAGGCTTAGGCCATTTTAATCGGTGCTCAGTGGTAGGTACTTCTGTCTAAATATTTGCCAAAATATTTTAGAGTAAATAATTTTGAGTGTTCAGCAAGCATTGAATGACTAATTTCAGATATATCCAAAGTTTTTAATTAAAATACAATTGCAAATTTATCTGGTTTGCTACAGGAAATCCCCCAACTAATATATTTTTATTGTCTTCTTTTAGATGCTTAATAGCTAAAATTATTGCTGCTTGTAGAATAGTTAAAAAATTTAAAGCAAAGGTTTCATTTTCAACACGTAAACAAGTGTCACCTGTTTGTTTTTTTGAATCCCAAGTAATACCGCTAAAATTATGCTTGAGACAAGGAATATAATGGTAGTAACGGCTAGCATAATGGACGATAATCGCCAACATCTGTGATAGCGCATATATAATAAATACAAGATAATAACGTAATTATTATATATAACTACCAATTACGGATAGAATAATGAAATCAGACGTAGGAGTTATTTCACTTCTAATCGCCGATATCTCCATCATTTCTGTGAAAATTATCATGATAATCACAATTTTGGATCAAAATTCATTTCACTGCCTTTTAGAGTTACCTCTGAATGTTTTCTTCACGTAGTTTTATTAAATATAAAAGTTATGGAAATGAAATCTTTGACTAGTCTTCGTTTATGCATTTGTAAAAAACAAATACGCAGTAAAATTACAAAAATTAAAAATTTTTGAAAACTAAAAAAATTTTAAATGCAATTAAAAAAATTTGTTTTTTAAAAAGACAAAATTGGCGAAAAACTTTATCACGGCAAAAAATTACAAAATTACACCAAAATAGCATATAAAAAATGAAAAAAAGTGGAACTGAGAGTGAACGGCAAAAAGTAGCTATGAATGCTCACTTAAAACAAAACCAAAGAATGAAACAAACTTCTGAAAATAACTACCAGTTCTTGTTTGTGAGTAAAGTTAAGTCAATTTTTTTCAAAATAGTTCGAAAATTAAAAAATACAGTCATTAGCCACTAAAAAGTTGCACATAACATCTCAAAGTTGAAACAAATTTAAGTTATTACACATTTTTACGCAATTTACAATCATATTAAACATATTGAAGTTTATTTTCATAATCAAATTGGCCTGACAGATCTTTTCAAATATCTAAATTCGAATATTTAAATATCCGCGTTATTGGACTTGTGGCATGAAACGTTTTCATTCACAGCAAGTAATTTTAGTTGTTACTCTTTGCATATTGCAAAGTTACTGTAAATAAGTTTGTATCGTTACTCAAGATAGCTTGTTATTACGATTTTTATTTGGTACAAACTAGGAAAAGTTAATCTTTGCAGTCTATAAATTGAGTTCTTAAACGCCTAAAGTAATAAATTTATAAAATTATAAAAAAAATTTTGCACGTTTGTTAGTATTTTCAAATGTGAAGCATTACATCAAGCACTTATTTCCGACCAAACTAATATCACTCACTACTTCCCTCCCACTTCCTTTACTTATCCTAAAGAACAAATGTAATTGCGCTGACTATCACAGTACAATAATGGGAGCTTGCCTGGAAGTTTATATTAAGTAAATAGATTAATAACAAAGTGCTTTTGCTATGATATTGATAGTAGCTCATATTTTAAGCAATGAAAATAAAGTAAGCTTGCCTTGGACTCCTTACTATTTGAGTTTTGAAGTAAGTTCTATCTCGGTTCTCATGAGGAGCACTATCGGATGAGTCAAATATTTGCACCATTGTCATTCTGCACTCTGTTGTAGCTTGTAGTTCCAAATGCCTGAAATAAAGTATTTGCTGGAATTAGAATTTCGGGGAAAAAAACTATTTTGCGATATTTTTCATCGAATTGTTTAAGAATACCAAAATTGTGGCAAACAAAGTAATTATTTTGAAGCTTTCAGACATATAAAACAGTCTAAAATGGAGTAAAGTAAGAAAACACGAAGTAAAATACATTTGGAAGAGATATTTGACTTAAGTCTACTCAAACACGGATTCATGACGATTACAGTTTCCAGCAACTTGATGAGCTCAAATGATTAAACAGTCAGCTTTTTTTACTCACGTAATGCTTGAAGCCGAATCGGTCTTATTTGTTTTGATTTTTGATAATTAAGAAACTGTCAAGGAAAGTGGAATAAAGCAAAGTTTAACAAATCGAAATTGAACTATGGCATTCCAAAATGCTTCTTACCAATAATTATGCAAAATTTTACTGAATATAAAATATTATTGAAACTCTGTTCACAAAAAAGTATCATCTAAAGTTCTTAAAACAGCTTAAATATATTTTAAAATGTAGCTATCATTTTTTAATTTTGTTTTCTACGAACCTACTTTTTGTGTACTTACGCTGCAAAAGTTAGTTATACAAGACGACATACAAAATACATAGCAAACAAAGCTGTGTTTTGTATTCTCAAAAGATTATTATGAGCATATTTTGATAAAAGTAGTAAATAATTTTGCACTGATAACAAAAACTTTTTGTTATATTTGTACTTATTTCTCCGTCATTTAACATCCGAAAATTTATTATCTATTCATAAATTAAAGTCAAAAAGCGGTGTAAAAAAATTTAAATCAGAAAGTGAAGAGAAAACAGCAAACTAGCATGATTCACTGCAAACAGTGTTATGGTTTCATGAAAGATTTTTGAATTGAAAATAGAATTTTAAATTGGTGGATGAATTCAGGGAGGAAGTTGATGAAAAGCAGTTAGATCGCTAATCCAGTCTTGATGATGAACGCGGATCGAGTGGATTTACGCTGCGCAAATTATTTGCGCTGATAATTGCCATAGTGAGTGAAATGTTCATTGAATGTTTATTGATGTTGGAAAAAATTAAAAAATTCTAGCAAAAACTTTACATTTACTAAATAATTTTCCAAGTCTCATTTTGCAAAGACTCTTTTTTTTAATAAATGCAAATTTGATTTGCAATCATTTAAGATAAACATCTACAGTATCACTTTACTGCAACTTCTTGAAAATTTTGGAAATTGTACGTACATACTCAAAACTTTTTTTTGTCTGCATTTTTAATAAACACTAGACAAATCTTCCAAAAAATATTATCCTTCCCAATATGTGATTTCAAATATAAATTAATTTAATCTTTTACGCTTTTTATTCAGTTTTAAGGGAGTTGAAAAGCAAAAAATATTTTAATATGTTTATTACTAACTCTACTTGTTTAATAACTTTGTACTTGTTCTGATACACAATGTACAGTATGCTCGCTGTACAAAAGTGGTTGATATGCAATTTTTAAAAGTAATAATGTGCCTCAATGATGAGAGAAAGTAAAACTGAAGTTTATTAAAAGTAAACACTAATCCTCAACATAATTTTTTCAATTTGAACTTAAAGCCAACCTGAAAAGTGATGCACAGCCCTAATTTCGATCAGTTGTACTTCATTTATCAGTTACCGGGTTAAAAATAATTTTAGTAAAAAGATCAAAGTTGAAAAGTATATCTACTACATTCAGTCTCATCAAATCATACAGTTTAAACATTATGCAAAAATATAGTAGCCACTAACAAATATAAAAGACATTCACAAGAATAAAGTGAACGATCAGAAAATGTACTTCACAATGGTCCTTTGCATCATTTCAAATATTTGATCACATGTTTTGAAAACATCTGCTGATGATTAGATCGAAAAGTGTGAACTGAGTAGAACAGAATTTTGTCTAACCTTTTCAAATTCTTCCTCAAAATGCAATCAATTTGCACATGAAATCATGCAGTGATGTGATGACAAAAATAAGTGAATTGCTCATATTTCTTTAAAAAAGTTTCAAGAATTTTGCAATTTAACAAATGTTCAAATGCATATAAATGAAATACATGCGAAGAAATTAATTTGTTGAGAAAATATTTAGCAAAAAAGTAGCGAACATTTAAGAAGTAAAATTTATCGAATCACTCACTACTAAGTGTTGCTAAAATTACACTTCGAAAGTGAAAAAACTTCTGTCACAGTTATCTTATTTATTTCTCGTTTTTCGTCTTTACCAAAAATATTGAATAACGCTGTAGAAGTTTGACTTTTCATACTTTTAACAAACACTAAACTTGCAGCACTTTCAGTTTTACTTTTCAAGTTGGCTTAGTGCTCGAAGCTTTCTTCAATTTTTGGTAATAACTAAATATGCAAAATAAAAATATATATTTTTATCATATTACAAATTTCAAAAAACTGCAAAAACTTTTCATTAAAGTAAAGCAAAAGAAAAACACTTTGTACCAAATATTTGTTTGATAATTCTTAGCTTTTTCTAATAGTAAGTAAAATAAGCCTAACAATTATTTGCAGCGAAGTGCAAATAGTTGTAAGTATTTGCTACACCATTTATTTCTTTTCAGCATTTTTCATAAAGTGCCATAAAATATCCACAACAAAAGTAATACAAAGTGTTGTTAAACATTTCAAGCTACCATTAAAAACCGCTTGAAGACAGCCAAATACCAACAATTATGCATGCAAAGTTTTCTAAATCAGTGCCTAAATATGAAGAAATAAATTTTTTCTGCTTATAAAGTTAGTAAAATTATGAGCTAACCAGGGAGTTGAATTGGTTTTTTTGATGCAAAACGTGAGAATTATTGTAGATTTGACAAAATTTTTGGAACTGAGTTAAGTAAAGCACATATAAGTTCTGTTTGGAAACTAATCTAAGCAAAACTTGACCTAAAAATAATTGGTCTGTACAAAACATCATATTTTCTCCATTATTTGACCCTATAATCAAAGCATTTGATGGCATGACCAACTTTTTTTTGCAAATTATTGCCATTTCATTTAAATTTTTTATATATCTGAAAAAAGTTCTTATGCATCAGTTTTTGTTTTACACTAGATTTTTTGACAAATAAAATTAAATAACTTACTGTATATACTTATCAGAAACCTTTATTTCGCTCAGAGCTTACTTTTATGAAAAATTACTGCTTGAAGAAATAATCATGAAAAAATGTATATCAACTTTATTACTTCTCAACGGATATCAAACCTTTACACATTTTAAAAGCTTTGATACATGTTTATTCAAGCAATCTTTTTGTACATTAAAGCTATAATTTGCTATTATGAATTATGACAGGCATTGAATAAACAGCTAAGTGAGTATATCAAAGTATGCATGCAAAGATGAATTTCATACTGTGAGTAGTACACAAACACGTATGCTTCGGTGTAGCGAGTTATGGATATTAAGTGTGTGACGTGAAATGCAGTAATAAACATCAACACATTCTTTACATCTCAGTCGCTATTGATAATTAATGCTTCGATGTCAACAGCGATCGATATGAATTTGTGATTAATATACATCGTTTTGAAAAAATTGCCAAATGTTGGAAAATAATTAATATATGTTTTTCTTGTGATTCAGAATGGCTATTTTGATGGCTCCTTACATGCACGAAATGATGTCCTTAAACGTGACAATTCTTCCGAAAATATTTCACCACTTTGTAATGCTGTAACCAACTGATCGAAGTCACGACTACGATTATCACGTCGACGCGCTGTAAAATTAAAACTTTTTGGCAATTACAGGCAAAAAATGGAGCAATAAATTTTCTGCAAAACTTTCAAAGCTAATTTAGTGATATTTTGATTATTTTTTTAACATTTTACATTTTTAAAGCGATCTGTTCAGACAAGATAGCTTAGAAAATTGAGTGATTTAACTTATTATTTGTACAAAAATACATAATACTTGAAAGTTAACAAAAAACATGCATTTAGAAGTTAAGATTGATCTAGTTAATGTTTGCTTCCTAATTCTTTCTAGATTTTCTCGTTCTTCCCATAACTGTTGACGGCATTCGGTTAGCGCTGTTATAAACTTCGAGAATACGCCGAAAAAATCATCAAATGAAGTTAGCTTTGGCTCTTCCGCAAACAGTCTTACGCAAATTCGAAACTGAAAACTAACCTATGCAATTGAAGAATTTAAAAAATTTGTGACGTGGTATGCTTATGCAAATACTAAAATTGCACTAGTTTAAGTGTTTTGGTAATTATTAACTTGCAGTGCTTATATTTGGAAGCACAGAATACATTTAATGACTAGAAGTAAGACTGTGAAAACATTTGTTTCATACTGAAAATATTAAGGAAAGTCTATACTTTGCACAGTTAACATGTGCATATATCAAAACGTATACTTCATTATCAAATTATCTTCCTACTTTTGTGTTCATTTCATCGTACTGCTTTTCAATCTGAGCAAAGTCATTTTTAGTATCTTCAAGAAATTTTTTAAGAACAGGAATGAACGAATTCACGCCTGCACTACATTCATTTTCCCACGTATTACTGCTATCAATTGTTTGATTCACTTGTAATTCTTCCATAACAATTGTTATAGACTTGCGTAATGAGCAAAATTCTTTTTCAAGCTCTTTACGGCTGGAAACATTTTAAATTTAGGGAGACAAAAGTTATCTGCTGGTAAAATATCTGTCATGCTAAATTTTCATAAAAAAATTTCATGACAATCATAAGTATATAAGGTGTAACATAAATAAAAAATTCTATGGTAAAATGAAGCGATTACTTATGTTTGGCAGCCTGATATACAATTTCTAAATCACGCTTAAGACGTAATACTTCCGGTTGTTTACTTTCCATATGCTTGACGATGTAGTGCAATAAATTCCGATCATGTCGTTGTGAATTGCGTACATCTGTGAGTACACGTAAGGAGCCCAAAGTAAATCCTGAAAATAATTACTTCCAAAAACCCTCATTGCAAACAGTTTAAAGTGTAGTAGATTTAATGAATTAGCCAGCAAATCTGACTCAATTTCTTTGAAAATTTTTGTAATTGAACCTGAATAAAATTGTTAAATTTCAGCAAAAAATTTTAGATACATATAAATGATTTTTAGGTTTTATTTTCCTTTGCACTTCAATAAAATTCTTGATCTACCAAATTATTCTAGACTAGAAACAAATAGATCAAAATTCCAGCAATTATCAAAGTTACTTTTTGAACATTACAACATGTGCAATTGAGTTCAAATTTACACGTGAATACGTGATGCAACAGTTTTTCTTTAGTAAAACGTTTTTTCAATGTTTGTGCAAATTTCATTCGGAAATACTAGTAAATATTTCATTTTGCAAAAAACTTTTTGAAAGCAATGAAAAATTAAATGTTTTGAAGTTATAACAAACCATAAGCGTTTCCATTCCGTTTTCCACGATTCAGAAAGTTACCCAATGCAAGAATAAGACGTAATAATTGTCTTAAACGTTCGCTTCTCATTACAGCTATAGAAGCATTTTTTACAGCTAAAACAATACATCTAATTACAAAAATTGGCATGATTTCATTTTAGTTTTCACTGAAAAGTAAAATTTTTCGGTCGATTAGATAATTTTTGACCAAACAAATAGCAACGTTACTTTCGATTGTTTTGCTAACGTCATCCGCGCGCTCGTGATACGTGCTAATGATATGAAGGCAGCGTAATCGTTGTTCATACCGTGAAACGCTGAATAATAAAAAAATTGAGATAGATTAAAGTATGAGTAATTTTTTTGAATAAATTCATAATACCTTTTAATCGAATACACAATACACTGAATATAACTTCTTTGCATCAAACCGAAAAATTACTTGAAGAAAAAAAAACTTTTTACGCTAAATCGATTTAAAGTCTTAAACGGAAGACAAATCAGAACAAGTGATTAGAACACTTTTTGGATTGACTGATATTTGAGTTTTTGAAGAATAAAAAATCACTTACTTGCTGATTTCATACAGGAAACGGTCTGCAACTGCTAAGACACTTGCAGTTTTGTATTTATCGACGATGGCGTGCAATTTTGACTTTTCCTCTTTACTAGGCATAAATTTTAAAATCTAAAACGTTAAATTTTAACAATTTCTATAAAATTTTCAGGATAATTACTTGTGGTAAATTTTACGGTTATTTAATAAATTATAATAAACACAAATAAATATTAAAATATTTAAATTGCTTGCTCGAAACTTTGAATTAAGCTATAATACTAAGTACTGTAGACTAATTTTGATTAGAAATTAATTTTGTGATGGCGAGAAATTCCAATTTGATTCATTCGATATTTCGTTGCTTTTACTTAATATATTGCAAAAATTGTACATTATTGTGCAGTTTATAAAATGTTACTAATCAGATTTAGTATTGATAAACCAACATATCAGGTAACAACTATATAAATAAGTCCAAAGTTAAATCTAAAATAATTGCCTTCAAAATAAAATTTAACCTGCTCGATCATATCACGCGGTAGTTCACTATACTGATCCATGGATAATATTGCCCGTTTGATTTGCTTATTCGACATTCGAAGCTTTGACAACATAATTGTACAATTTTGAGCACGACGTGGTTCAATGATTGAAAGTAACGTTTCTGCTCGATACTTTCTACGTAATGTTTCACTGATTTGTTCCGTTTCCTCTGCTGATGCTTTTGCAAGTACAAAATTTTGCGTGAAATCATCCAAATCAATCTGCAAAATTCTTCTTAATTGAACTGTCATTATCTGAAAACTAATAGCCACAAACTAAAAATTTTGTGCGAAACAATGGTTAGGAAATCGCTGATGGAAACAAATTTGGTACTTCAGAAAGCTGGAACAAAAAAAATAGCATAAGAAACACATCTAGCCTGCGAATATATATTTTCTTCGTCGATACTTTCCCAAATAGTGCCAAACGTTTGTGGTTTCGGAATTGGTATCCAATTAAGAGTTTTCAACTGCAGCACTGATTTTGGTATATTTTTTTTATTTGCATCGATATCAGCGATTGCTTCAATACCTAGCCGAGTACTGTGTAAACCAAGCTTTAACGATGATAGTGGCGGTGGTGGTGGAGGTGCGAGTGGTGGACACATTGGAGGTACCAAAGATGATGGACTAGGTGACTGAGATGGATCCGATGGCAAAGCAGAATCTGTTGAATCTGCACTGCTTCTGAAACACTTGTCTGCCTCAAATTCATTAATTGGTATAATTACATAACACATTAGATCAAATCTTGTTAATATTAATTAGAGCACATATTGCTCTATAGATGTAACAATGTGAGCTTACTGTTACACATACCAGAGATCAAATAATATCTAATACTAAGCTCATCAATTTAATAAATGGCAAAAAATTTAAATTATTAGTGCATTTGCATGGATTATAAATGAATTTATAAATTAATTGAGTGTCACGCCTGGAATACGTAGAACGACCATCGCAATCAGCCAAACGACTTTGCAAGTCTATCACATTCAATCGTTCTTGACGAAGTTCTTCTTCTAATTCAGAATACATTTTTTCAAGGTTGTCATATTCGTGCTGTGTATGTAATCTGTAATAATTTGCTACAAATCAGTTGAAAACCGTTTTATTTAGTAAATATGTCATTTATTTAATAGGTGACTTAATTGATGGTTCTATTCAAAGTATCTCAGTTAAAAAATTAGGTCAGATATTCAGAATCCAAACATGTACCAATAAAATAATGTGTAAAAGTGCTTAAATTGTATATACATTTGAGTAACTTTATCTGTGGTGGGAAGCATCAAATACTTCACATTTTATTCGTTTACGTTGATAATGGATTACTTGAAGACATGAAATTAAAAAATTACTTAGATAAAGCTTCGTTCATGTCGACTTTTATGACTGGATCTCGAACATCAGGATACGGATCTATTTTCGCTTGCAAAATTAACTGTTGCAGTACAATATCAAATAACCTTAATAGGACATATGTAAATTATAAGTGCAAAGGAACTTCAATTATTCAGTATTATGAACGCTGTAAATAAGTTAAAAAATGTTTAAAATGTATATTAGTAAATTAAGTGACCAATAGCTAAAAATGTAAAAAATAATCTAAATCTGACATTTTTTAATAAAATATCTCCAAGCCTTAGCCCATAATGGGACTATAGGAAACAAGAGTGAACTGCTTGATATTTACCTCCATAAATAAACATGCTTATCATCTGATGGTACAAGCAAGAAACGTTGTAAAATTGAAATGAAATGAGGCATTGCAATAGAAGTATTTAGTCTGCGCATCAAAACTTCCACAATATCCACCGGATTATCTGTATCAGTTGGAGGTGATGGATCAAAATCATTTCTGCAAGAATGCTAACCTAAAGTACTTCTAAGTGAAAACAAATAAAAATGCTTGCTACTCTCTTCAGTTTATATTCTAAAATTTACAAATGATTCAATTTTATGACAACCAAAAATATTTATTCAAAAATAATTAAAATTTCCAATACTTTTGTTGGGTTTCAAGCAATTAAAGAAAAAAAATAATAAATTTGAACTGATTTGTGTCATTCGAAACGTGTTTTTGAAATTCCTCTCTTCCATGACAATATGTTACATTATTTGAGAGCAAAATTTAGTCGTTTTAAGTTTTCGGTGTGTTATTTTTTCAAGTAATTTATATGTGCAACTTGACAATAAAATTTTTTGCCTGGCAAAAGAAGATTTCAAATCATGATCAATTTCAGGTCAAAATAAGGTATAATTTGATTAAATATACACTTAATTATGATGACTTTAGAAATATCACGTAAACTAATGACATTTCAAATAAAGATTTAATTAATTTTCATAATAAATTTTTGGTTTGAGATAAATCAAACTTAAGTATATAAACCTAGTTAGAGCAAGCAGAATTTGCCTTGATTAAATAAAACAGAAATTGAGAACGACAAGGAAACTGATTGAGAGTGGCCAAATTAACAAAAGTTTGATGTAAAATTAATTGAGTTGCTTGGAAGAAAAATCAAAATAATGGAGTAACTTTAACTGAATAAAGTTGGTTTTATCTTAGGATTATGAATAGGAAAAGCTACTGTACCTGGCAAAATGTTGTTCGTCTTCTTGACGACTCATCTCAAATAAATCCAAGTGATTATTTAAGGCGGTGGATGACGAGTTGCGTAACTGCTTCAAAACGTTATGTAAACCCAACATAAGCAATTCAATTCGTAAATGCATCCGAAATTCCAGCGAATGCTAGAAATAGTCAAAAAGTTTAGCAAAATTCTTTCATTGAAGCGGGAAAAGTTGGCAACTTTGAACTTTTCATTTTTCGAAAAAACCAATTTGAAAGAAAATCAAAACTCAAAGCATTAGAGCATTATAACTTGCTGCAATCCAAGTACAAAAAACTCGTAATATAATTTTTAAATTTCAGATCCGATGAAGCTTTCCCAACAAAAAGAATAAATTTGATAAATTAGTCTGAATTTCATATTAAATGAAGATTGATATGCAAAAATTACCAGTCAGAATAAACTAGTTCTTGTTTTGTACGTTACTGAAAACTCATTTTTAAATTTTTAACCTTCTAATTTTGCTTATAACGACTTTAAATTTTGTGAGTTCTTTAGTACATTTTTTGACCAAGTTCAGTCTCAAACTTTTCACAAATAATTTTCAAGGCAGTAATTATTCTAAATACAGGATTCAGAATTCACGGATAGAGAACTGTTTCTTCTACACTATTCAGCAGAATTTTATATGCTAAAATAAATTCAAAGAGGATTGATATTTCAGTACTTTCAGTCTAACTTCGAGTTATGTCTAAGCTCCATCAGTTTTTGCAGTGCTAGTTATTATTCAATTAGTAAAAAATTGTTATTAATACTTGAAGCATTTGAGCTTAATGATAAAATTGATCTCAAAAATTTTTTCATTACTTTTAAATAGAAAAACTTACTTCGGCAGGACCACTACTTAGCAGCGCATTAATTAAACTCATTGCTGCGATACGGACTCGTTCAGTCTCTCGATCGCTTCGGTACTTCCGGTAGATATCATCGACAATTCTCTGGAATCTTGTTCTTTCTCCGAGGATTTCTTGAAGTTCAGTTAAAGCGTTCAATACTTTCGCATGTCCATCTGATATCAAACAAACGCCGGCTAATATTTCGTAACATAGTACCTGAAGTACAAGTCATTTTTGATTTTTCACGCAAAAACACGTGAAACTAATTCATGCTTATTGCAAAGCACACTAGTAAGAAATGGCAGTTCAAAATACTAAATTAAAGTAGAAAGCAACAATTATGATCTCAGAAATATTGAAATAATTAATTTAGGCAGTTAATCAATTCGTATATATATATAAAAGTATAGGTTATTAAAACATAATAAATAATATAAAAGCACGACAAAAATATAAAGAAACTTATAAGTTTGCTGCTAAAACAATACAAATACAGTGGAGTATAGAATTTTGAGCAATTAGGAAAAGATAATTATTCAGAAATTAACAGCAAGCATCAGACTTTTATCTGTAAAGCAAGGATTACAGGAATAATCAAATGAAACAAATGAATGCGCATTCTAGTGATGATTCAATTTCGAGCTAATTCTCAATATTTTAATTTAAATAATAATTGTTGAAAAAAACTGAGATGGAAATTAAAAATAAAAAGTAAAAACTTGCAAAGCAAAATTCATACTGTACTTCAAACAAAACTAAATCCCTCATACTGTAATACAAGTATGAGGGATTTAGTTTTGTACAAGTCGAAACCTCTAAATTGTTTGCGTAAAATTTGAAATGAATACAAAGAAATAATTGTCCAACAGGCCATGCAAATGAAAAATGAGGTTGCATGTAAACAAATATTTTAAAAAATATTCTAAAAAAACCACACCAAATGATTTCAGTAGGGTTACAAACGAATTAGAAGTCAGAAATTTCCATACTCTCAGCAGTTTTTAGTTTTGCCAAAGTAGTTAATATTAAAGTAGTCGTTGATCCAGAACTAATCTTCAAACTTGAGAGTAAGAGTGAAATTCGAAAATGAACTAAAAAGACTGCGCAATCAAATTTGATCAAAATTTGTTTTCTGACCTCAAAAACTAGGAGGTACATTGGCTATTCTGAACATCGAATGAATATATAAACGAATGTTGCACATATCTTGAATACAAAATTGTTTATTACATTCTGTCATAAGTGAAATGGATCAGATTTTAGGTCATTAAAACTTGCTCTCAGTAAAAAGAATGACATTCATTTATGTGTATGCTATTTTTGAAAATGGCAAAAAAATTAATTATGAGTTTGCTTTAAATCAAGTCATCCATGATCAGTGAACGAAAGCTTCCAAGTTCGATAATTAATAGTAATTTTCATTAAAAAATTCCATTTTATGGAAATAATCAAAAAAATTAATTTTTTGAAAACACAAAGATTTTTCAAAATAGAATCATTTGCAGTGTGAAATTGTAATGAGCGTGATAAAAATATTATAAACATTTTCAGAAAAGATTACTATAATTTAAATGGCATATTATTCAAATGCATAGTATAATCTTAGCAAATAACCTTCATAAAACAGCACTAATTACAGAGCGTATGAATTGTTATAAATAACTAATTAATTAATTAATTAAATTTTATCAATAATATAGTCTCAGTGATTTCAAAAAAAAAGCTTATTTTGGTCTCATTTTCTCATATACATATAGAATAAAGAAAAATTTTATCGTCCGTTTTTTGCAAGTTCCTTGTTTTCAATAAATAAATAAGTAAGTATATATATGAGTTATATAACTGGAAGGTAAGTAATCTGAAGGTTTTAGATTCCATAAATACTGAAAATTTAAATTGAAAAGTATAAAAGTGTGAAAATAGTAAGGACTGAAATGCAGCGATGACCCACAGGTGGTATGTGAAAAGTTCATCATCCTGTCACGTATGTGCATACCATTCTGCTATAACGACAAGTCATCTACTGTGACCTTTTTAAATTTCAACTTTATACTTCTAACTAATTCATTACGCAAGTAATCATTATGTATTTGGTTGTGAATTACTTCTCAGAGTTTACTGTTTATCCATTTTGCGAATAGATAAACAGCAAACTATTTCTTCCTCAGTTAAAAAAATTACGCTAGGGGCGCACTGCAGTTATGCTAACAACTAATTCTATCGAAAAAACAGTGCAAATTCTAACGATAAAAAGCAATTCAAATCATTTAAGAACTAAATACATTCTTAGGAATTTATTTTTTGAATTTCGTTTCAACGATTGCTTTTGTCATAAACTGAAACTGAATTTGTTTTTCGACTGGTAATTCCAAACAACTTTTTAATGTTATTGTTCAGTGCATATTCTCAATGATCTATTCAAAAACCTAATAAAATTTGGCATTAATTATTCACAGTTTACATATCTGAAGTAAGGCTAACTTTTCAAATGGTCAAAAAAAGGCACAGAAAAGGCTTAAGTGCAAAAAAGTTGAAAACACAATGTTAAACTGTAAATATTATAAATGAAGGTATCAATCTTTCCAAATTTTCCATCTTACAAATTTGAATATTTTTATGGCTTAGAACATTTTAGATTTTGAGCATTTCTCGAGAGAGTAATGCAAATTAATGAAAAAATATTAAAAAATTTAAAATTCAACATTAGTATCTTTTATTTGATTTTTAATCCTACCAAAAAAATTTTTTAGTTAAAAATTTTTTAAATTTGAAGCAGTAGAGTTTTGAAGCAGTAGAGTTCATCTTCAGCTCACAAATGTTTGAAACAGTCCTGTTCAAATGCACAGATACTTTATTATTTTGAAAATTATAACTGTTCAAAATACTTTATCAACCTAAAATTAAATTCACCATTACATGGTGTCACATTAAGTGAAACAAAAACTTTCCTCTATTTATATTCAGTTCAATTCAGATTAAAGTCAAAATATTACAACTTAGATATGGCAAATATTCAAGCGATAATTTTGTTTTTCACACATAAATGAGTTAACTAGTTATAGAAAAGCTTTCAGAGATAATCTGCGCAATGAAAACAAAAACAAAAAGTGTTTTGGAATAGAATAATTTATAAGTAAAATGATAGTTATCTTAACAGGTTAATACAGTTAAATTACTACGAATAAAATAAGATATTAGGAAATTTTCAATACTTGAAAAATACCAAAGCTCAAAAACTGCCAAATTAAATCAGCAATTTCTGTAGAAAATAAGCTATTCCGAAATTATCTCATTTTTCTTTATTTTCCAGTGTTTATTGCAAACTGAATTTAAAGTAACTTTAGAAATTCAAAAAGTCGACAACTATTTTTAGTAAATAACTTTTCTTATTTGCTGAAGTTTTTCGATAATTCATAGAAAATCTGTTGAATATTTAATTTTTAATTCTAAAAATTGCAAAAAAGCAAGCATCATTGACCACATTTTAAGGAAAGAATGAATAAAATAAGCAACTTCTGAACTGCATGAAAGAAGCAAATCCATTGGGAGGGCACGAATGTCAAAGTCACAAAGATATCCAAAATCTGTTTGTAACAAAAAGTCTAAGTAGACTAGTCTGACATTTCACATCTATTCAGTCATTTCCAAAAAGTTTCATAGGCATATGACATCAGAGGTTGTCATATACCATTTTTTGTTACTTTTTGAACAATCCGAATTTTTGATTTGCTATGAAAATTTAGTCTCTGAATTTAAAAAAACAAGCGAAAAAAGCAAAAATAATATTCAGAATTTGCCTTCGAACTCTTATATTCCTCTCATTTTAATCCTTTTTTAAGAATTATCTTTGCATTTTCCAAGTATTTTTTTAACAATATCTTTTCACCTCATTTAGTAACATACTTTAACGCATGTAATACACATTTTTTCTCGTTTATTTAATTTTATATCAAACAAAAAGTTTCCATCATTTCTGATGTGTAGCACAAAACTGCAGTTTAGATAGAACAAGTACTACCAATCTTTGCCTTAAAAGTTTGGAAATCAAGAAAATTTTGCCATTATTAACTTTATTATTATTATTATTATTATTAAGAGTACAATTATTATTACCATTACCATGTGTGTCGTTATTATTGCAATAACTATTGTAAATTGATTTACTGAAAATTAATAAATTACTATCGTTGTATTTATCAAAGCTATTTCTGTCATCAGATATGAATACATATTATAAGGCAAATTCTGAAGGTAGAAAAAGTTGTAAAACAAAAAGAAAGTTCAAGGAGATAAAAAAAGTTTCAAAAACAGTAACGAAGATATTTCTTTACGGCCATCGTTACCTTTTAACCTAATTTCCTTTATTCTTTATTTCGAGCTCTCCAAATTGTTGTGTTTGTTATAATTATATTAGACAATAAAAATTGTCATTTTGAAAATATAAACGAAAAATTATCAAAAAAGATTCACTTAATGTAATTTAATTATATAAATAAAATTTTGTCTAAATAATTTTAAAAAGTTCCTTTGCCCAATTATATAATTCAGTAATGAAAAAATATAAATAAAATCATAAATAAAAAATTAGTGAACGAAATTGAAGTATTTCTCAGAGTCCGAAAAATAGACGTTTTGAGCAGAGATGGTAAGGGACACGCAATTAATTAATTACCTAGCAGATTGTACAATGAATTTTCGACACAAATTTTGACATTTTTAATGAAACATGCAAAAATACGACAGAACCTTTATCAAGTTTACAAATTAGAAAGTAAAAAAGTTTTCAAATTTTAGTGAGTTAAAAAGCTGAAAATGTTAGATGAAACAACGCACTTTTCATTATTTTTATTGTAATAAATTGAATATTTACGGAGACGCTTGCGTTTTAATTTGTTTCAGCGACAAATTTCGTCAATTAAAAAAATATAACACAAAAGTGAACGATTTGATTGTTAAATGAAAGAAAATTCTTTGATAAAATTACTTCAAATTTATTTATACGCGAAAATTATCAAACTGTTGCAATAACTATTGTAAATTGATTCACTGAAAATTAATAAATCATTCGAAAAAAATGTATTTAGTGAATTTACAGACTTTACGAACTTTTATAAGTTACCAGTAATTATAGGAAAGTTATTGTAAAATACAGTAAAAACTTCTATTTAATACATTTGTAATTACTGATTTTACGAGTGTTAAGAAAAATTAAAATAGAAATGATTTTTAATATTGTCTTTGGATCAAGTACTATATGTAATAATATATGTAAAAACTTTTTCATATTTTTAATTATATCTCAAACTAATTCGTATATTTTCCTACCAGTAAAATTTTGCCTGCCATAGGCATTCCTATTGTTTGAGCACTTAGGCTAACTTATAACGGAACTTGAATATATTTATATTTGAATATATGAAAAAACAGAAACTGAACCCACAAATGAAGGGTCAATCTTTATTTCTTGCTGACAAATGGAATGCGCCTAGTAGCATTCTAATTTTCTGCTGCAAATTTGAAAGACACATATTTTTATTTTCTGACTTACAGGCATTTTTTGAGTTTTGAAGTCTATTGTTATTCTATATGCAAAGAAAAGCATAAAGTTCTAAAAAATTTAAAATCAAGCGTATTTTGCCCAAAAAATGATAGTCTTAATTCACTTTGCCAATCTCAAACTCAGTTTTTGCGCTGAAATCAAAAACTGTCAAATCTATTGCTTTCCCATTTTTGTTGATAATTAAGTATCGATTTGAAAAATCATTGATTTCATTTAAAATTCAGTATCCCTTGAACCTGCCTAAGAGATTTAAAAGTTACACAGATAAAAAGTGCTTAACATCAGTCTCGTAGATCACTTTTTATAAACGTTTTAAAATTTTTATTATTTTGATGTTATAGTTATTAGAATTGAATTTCGAAAATTCGTATACTTCTAGACTGTAGTAAGAAGCTAATGAGGGATAAGCAATTCAAACTGTATTAGCAATCTGTAATAATAGTGACAGTAACTCAATAACAAAAATTATAGATATTTTACTCGAAATATCAATAATTTTATCATCAGATAAAAAGCACCTATTTTTCTTCTCCGTGCAAAATATGAACAAACATTAAATTATTCAATAATAATTAAGGGATCAACTGGCATCAGTTATTACTAAGTATACTGAAGGAACAGGAACGATTTATTTGAACATATAAAACTTTGTAGTGAGTAGTTTAGGACTTTAAATAACTAGCAGTGGTATATAAAAGGGGAAAGATGAATTGCATTTCACACTGTGATTAATATCATAACTTGTGAGTGGGCAGCGAGATTTGGTCATTAATCACAATTCCTTGTGGTCAGTCATAAACTGAATGAATAGAAATGAGTATTAACTTTCAACATTTGGAGTATAATTTGAAGTTGAAATATATACTTTTTAATTTGAAGCACAAAAGATAATGTCTTAGTTGCGATCAAAGTAACCTTAAATGACTTGAGAGTGAGTAATTTGAAATATATTTTTCAATCCGAAAATGAATAATTTAAACAATTCAAGAGCTGATCATTTTAGGAGTGACTTTGTTTTGTTTTCAAATCGTCACAGTTGATTCCTATGTACATATTTTTCTAATTATACTGGAAAAGCAAAAATACATATTGGGACAAATATTAAAAATTACGGAAGGATTTTCTTTTCTAAATTGAAAGAACTGCAAATTTCGAGGTGATTTGGAACATTTTCCGATGTTTTCTAATCGATCAAAAAATAAGAATCAATGATGACAACTTATAATAATTGCGTTTCTAATTAAAATATTAGAACAGATGGTAAACTGTATTGTATACAATATAGCGACTAATAGATAAGCAGTGGAAAAGAAACGGTGCGCAGTTTATAATGCTTTATTTTAAAACTAAAAGGAGACAAATACAATTTAATTTGAAAAAAGGAACGCACAGATGCGCGGTTGATAAGCTTAGAATTATTCACTGGAAAAAGGTATGTATTAAAATTCATCGCTGATAAAAATTTGTTGCTCTTGAAATAGCACTACAATTTTTAATTATTTGCCATAAAGAAAATGCAATACACCAAAATTTTTGAAAGAAAACTGATTTGCATTTTTGGAAACTATTATTGAATAGATAAATAAATAAATAAATAAATCGATTAATATTAATGCAGTTATTACTTTGTCTTAATTACTTAAATGTGCATTGTTACAATTTGAATTGAAATCAAACTTTAAGAATCAAAAATTATATTGTCGTCACAAATTTGAAAAGCGGAAAAAACTGCTAAAAATTTTCCGCAAAGTTTATCAAAATAGTTTTTTAAGAGCATAAAAGATACTATAATAGATTAGCAGAAGAAAATTTGAAAACTTAAAAATTTTTTTTTGCTCTAATTATGCCTCAGAAAGTTGACAATCGTAAAATTTCGAGTTTAAGCAGGAACTACTAAACAAATTAAAAATTTCAAAGTTATAAAAACTTTTGTGAATTTTTGAATTTTTTGAAATTTTAAGAATTTTATGAAAGAAATGAAAATTTTAAATGAAATTTAATTCAAAAATATTGAAAACCTTGCATTTGGCACTTTGAAAAAAGGACGATGAAGCGATTGCAGAAAGCGTTTCATACGACGACAGAACTGCCAGCCTGCCTGCCTGGAAAATTATTACTTCTATTACATTAATGGCCTGCAATTACTTTATCGTTTTTATGCCAACTCTGATTTTACCTTTTTTCATCGATAAATGTTCTTTTTTTTTACTTTGGTTTTTGGAAAAGCAGAGGAAAGCCAAAACGATTGAATGTTTTCATGTTTTGAGCAGAAAAGTAATTAATTTTCTTCGGTATCTTGAAAACATTGTTGCTATGATGAAGTCTTAGCATGTAAAAATTGTTTTAGAATTACTTAGTGTTATCAAAATTATTTTAATATCAATACATGCAAGATTCCACTGTTGGTTCTTTTCAAAATATCAAGATATGCGTCCCTATTTTGTTTAGTTATAATCGTAATAGTTTTGATTTGATATCATAATTACATTATATAACTAATTAAATCCTGAAATTATGATAATAATGATAGCAATAATGAGAATAGTGATAATAATAAAAATAACTATTTATTATACGAAAAAAAGAAAACCGTTGAATTCAAAAGTGCTCGAAAACACAGAAGTATTGCATTTGCATGATTTTCACGATTTGAGGTATTACGACAGTCATTCAGTAAACTGCGCAGATATTCCTCACCTCCTAGTTTCAAGAACTTTTCCACAAAACTATAATGTTTTGGTTTATTGCAGTTTTCAAAAAAAAGGAACATCTTATTTTACAGTCATTTTTTAATTTTTAGTACATTTGTGAAGTATAGTAAGTGAAAAAGTTGTCAAAAACTATGAGTTTCACTTCAAATTGTCAATTAATGATAGTTTGTTCGGTCAAATTGCAGTACAGAGAGTAATTGCTCCGAGAAGAATCAATGGGAAATAAAAAATATTACTTCGCAATTATTAAAGTTGTAAAATTTTTGAAATAATTTTACGTATTATAAAGGATTGATTTTGGTTTCTGAGCTTAAAGTTTGTAATTATAAACACTGATAACCTGTAAGACTGTGTTCTTAACGAGATGTATAAAGCTTCTAACACACGTAAACTAGCATCGTTGTCTAATAAAGTTGGCCCTTTCAGAAGTGTCAAGAATTTCTCGGCTATTCTGTCATCACCAATGCCGAACTTTTCCTGCAACATTTCTAACTTTTATATTTGGATTAATTTGAAGAACAACTGAAACATCAATTTTTCTAGATAAAAAGAAACGTATAAAAAATGTTGTAATATTTCAAGTCAGATTTATCAAATATCTTAAGTATCGTAATTTGAGATCAGATGAAAAAAATACTAGAACTTCCCTTGCCTTAATAAGAGTCTGTTCTATAAGCAGTAAACACTTTTTCTCGATCGGCTGATCAATTAATAAGCGCTGCTTTTCTGGAGATAAATCGAGCTCAGCCTGCAAACTATGCCAAAAATATTTAGCACTCAAAGTTTTTTCCTTTATATATCAGTTTTATCTCATTCAATAAAAATGATTTGGCAATTTTTTTTTACTTTTCGATGGTAAAATTTTAGTTATAGCAGTACCAAAAGTCTCGGGAAGGCAGTATCAACTTCATTTTTCTCGAGCTTCGATGGATCAAGCGTGAAAATTGGACACTGAGGATAGCCAGTTTGAATTTTAATTTCATTTTTTCCACTGGCAGAACTTCTTTGTGATTTTATTTCTGGCAAACAGCATAACGCATTTATCATTACTGTAAAATAGCATTTAACACTAAAAATGCTAAACATTATGGTAACAATTAGCATTATATTAATATCAAAGATTATATCCCTTATAACAGAATCTGCTATGTGCTCCATAATATTCACGCAAATTTTGATTGCATTAGAGAATTATTTAAAAAAACTAAAGTTTAATCATAACGTGCTATTAATTTTGATACATGATGTTGCAGTATTTTCAAACAGAAATTAAAACTTAATTAAAGATTGGTTTGCAGAGTAAATATTTAAAGTATTGTCAAAAGCAGTGATGAAAGCATCCTACTACAGTACTGGATTTAAAATTAGAAATAGTAATTTTTGCAACTAAAACTTATTACTTCACAGTTTCAGACTGTGTGCAGATAATTAAAAGTTTTTGCAAAAATGCATACTATCTTATTTCTCTGATATTACAAGTAGTACTCAACAATCTCATTTCTGATCATGATTTATCAGTATGATATGAAGTGAGGGAATTAATTTTTATTTAAACCATTGACAACTTAACTGCATACTTTATTTATGATTTATTCAATTTGCTACTAATTTAGTGGCCCTATTCCCTCATAAATCACATTTTTCTCAAATTAAAATTTTATAAATATCAGCTAATTACTTATATTATTTACGGCTTAAACATTGCTTGCAAAGTATGGACGACAAATATTTTATCAGTTTGCATATTTAAATGTCTCAGTTAATTTTCCAGTTGAAATTTAAGTTTTCAAATTAATTAATAGTAACTTAAGAAATTTTATGTTTTGCTTTACAATTATTAGTTACTAAAAGTAAAAACTGAAAAAATATAATGAATCCAAGTTTTGAAAATTAAATGAAAACTGATAGACCATTTTTGTTGTATAAACAATATACAACGATAGCAACGAAGCAACATACGATATAGTCCATCTGAAAAAGTAATTTCTTCAAATCATTTTATTCAGTTCAATCGACAGATTTTCTGTTTTTCAATCTCATTTTTGAATATAACAGAACTATCTTACTGAAAATTATGTAAATGAAGAAATGGATATACAATGAAATTGAGTAAATTGCAGTAATTTGGATTTATACCTAAATAATTTATAAATCAGTGCTGTTGAAAATAAAGTTCTCAGAGAATTTGATATTAGGATAGTCCTAGCTATCAAAATGAAAGTGTTGTCTTTCTATATTTTTACTATATTTTAAACTATTCAATTGTATTCATACATTTGATCAAGTGTGTAAATTCTATGTGCAATTTAGCTAAAAGCTCGCTAAAATGCTAACTTTTTATTGAAATTTCCGCAATATAATGGTTTCACAAATAAAATTTGAATGACTTTTGAAGTCAAAATATTATCATATCAAGCAAACAAAACGAAAAATTGAGCTTTGCACTATAAATAACCTCACCAAAATCAAGTATTACTTTGGTTTCAGCAATTTTGTGGTGCACTGACGGAAGTAATTAAATTTACTTAAGAAAATACATGATTGTTCTTAAAGTTAGGAAAAATTAAAATTTTGATATATATCAGTTTCACTAAACTCGAAAAGTCGTTGCAGCAATAAAAACAATATAATTTTGTTTATGCTGAAGAAATAATATCATGATGAACATAAGATATGATTTTCCTGAAAAATACTCACAGTATTAGTCTAAATTTCTAAAATTTAATTTTATTTAGGTCAATCATTCAGGTTTAGGTCATCTGACCTTGAATCTACAACAAATATGACAATATTTTACTACGTTAATTAATGTTCCAAATTCAGTCTATCCAGTTTTTTACTGAGTTTCAGATCAAAGTTTACACTGTATTATTGTTTTAACAAAATATGCAAACAAAATGTAATCATGCAACGAAAAACTTCTGTGTTAAGACATTTTCCGTATAATATATTGAGAATGAAATTTCAATTTTTGTTTCATACTCGTGTCATAATCATTAAAAAGCAGTCAAGAATATGCGAAATTTTTTACACTTCGAAAAAAGACTGATTGTAATCAGAAAAACCATAGAGATATATCATAATATTTACTGACAATTTGTTATTTTTTGGTTTCAGATTATGCAAATTCGGGGAGAGCAGAAGTTAATATTTAAGTAGTGAAAATATATCTTTATTTACATGAAAGTTTTTTGATGTTTTTTCATCTAAATTGATTTAATGAATTTTTGTCTCTTACCTGTTTTTAATAATTATTAATATGTTATAAATAATAAAGAAATGTTTGGATTATACAAATATTCTCAAAGTGAAGAAATGTAAAGATCAATTTGATAGACTTATGTTGAGGAAGTTGATCTGGAACGATCTTAGAATTTTTCTGAAGAACCGCGTAATATAGAATAGGTCAGCCTAAACCAAATTCAAGATCAGTTCTAATACTATCTCATTTAATCTTTCTGAAATGTGTCTAACAATAATCTCGAAAGGAATTCTTTAATATGCACCAAATAAATATGCAAAACATTTAAAAGAAAATACTAAATAATTGATTTGTCGTTACATCTTCAATAAATTCAACGTCGGTACCAGAAGTATAATTTATATATACTCCCTCAGTACTTCCGTAGTTTATTGTAAAATTTATTGCTACAACTTTTTAGCTTGAATTATATGTATTTGTGAATTATTTTTAGATTATAATCTCATCCATCCTTCACAACAACAAAAAAACGGCTAGACGTAAACAAGAATGTATGCTTTTTATTTGCTGATGCTTGTTTATTCATTTTTGAATAAGATTAGCGTAAAATAAATAAAAAATAATATAAATGAATAAAATAAAGCCAGTTAGTAATCATCTTTTTTACGCTCATAAATTTTTGCTGTATTTACTAGCCATCAACTTAAAGCAGCTGTACAAATATACATTGCCAAAGGGATTATTTTCACAATTTGTTGTTGTTTAACTAAATCGTGACAAGAAGATAAATTATGCAATATTCACTGCATAATTTATAAATGAACTACAAATGCAGACAGTAAACACAGTTAATAAAGTCATGCTTTAAAGGGATTACGCTAAATAAAATCTGTCATGCCAGGCAAATTATAACTTTGTGCATATTTCAGTTTTAGCTCTTCGTTATTATAAGATCTATTGCAATTATTTTTTACTCTAATCCAAACTGTCAACGATCATCAAAAATGAAGAAAAAAGCAGATTACTGAAAGCAGAATAATTGGTATGGAGTGAAATGAATGATTAGCAAAAATCAAAAAGTAATATCCAGCAAAAATCGAAATTAATTCAATTATACTATAAAAATTTTGCCTGAAAACAAAAATTTCTGCTCAGAATTTGAAAAGAAAATTGAAAACAATGTAGAAAATTATTTCCCTTCTGTCACTATTCTCATTTAATTTGCATATTTCGAAGCTATGCCAATGGAATCTTTAAAACGATCGTTCTCCGCCATCGTTAAACTTTGCATTTATGCAATTTTCTTATTTTTTTACCATAGAAATTTTTGAAAATTCAGATGAAGAACTATTACAATATTGAAAAAGTCAAACTTCAAGAGAATTCCTGCTATAAAAGAGCACAAATAAAAACAAATGTAATGATACCGAATGAAAAGAAATGCAGAAATGAGTAGATTGATCTTGAATTGAATTGAATCAGAACAGCCTTCTTCCTACATGCTCAAACGCACTGATGAACAATTACTTTCAGATGATTTGAATCAAAAATGCAAGTCAATTTACTTGAACTTGTCTGGGAATTTCGTAAATTAACTAAAAGATAAGCTTGAAAATTGAGGCAAAAATAAAAAATAAAAAATTGGACAATTAAAAAGTTTTATATCAAATGTTCGTATCAATAATTCTGTAATTTTTTTTAATTGAAAAAGCAAGGTTTTACTGAACAAAAGTGAATGTGATGGAAGAGAAGAATAATGAGTTGATCTTTGGCATACACATAGATTATTTTCTTGATTAGATTTAATCCAATTTGTTACGGATATAAAAGAATTTTTGTTAATGTAGTAGAAATGAGCTTGGCGAAAACTGTTATCACTCTTTACGGAACTTCAGGGAGGATGAGCGAAGCGAGGAGTAAACTTGATAATAATTAATGCAACAATTTGTCAACCTGTAATAAATGACATTAACCTGTTATTAACAAACTACTTCTTGCTGATTTGAATTTCTTTTCACGCATATATGCCTTCTAAATTTTAAACATACTGATTGATTCTCACATTCAAACTCAAATTTTACAACTTTCCTGCAATACATTGCAAAAGTATCAGCTTCAAGCTCCCATTTGCTGCTTGCAGTTTGCGTAAAAACTGATTTTACAAAAGCTGCAGCCTACTGAATTCGAATTTTCAAAAGGTAAAAAATTTAAGCTCTAATTTTACAAACATATTTGAGCCACTATTTTGACTTTAAGATTGTGAACTGAAAATGATATCAAGGGATTAACTGGCTTTCGAAACACTAATGCAGTGTGGGATGACATCAGTGATAATAAAGCCCAGCAATATATGATATTATTATAACAATAATACTGATAACATTATTATTAGTACTAATAATAACGACAATAACGATAATAATAGTTATTATTATTATTATTCTAGTAATGAGGATAATAATAATAATGAAGATGGTAGTGACCGCAGTGACACTAAATTTATATTACTTTTTAAGCCAAACTCTTGTTTATCTAATCATTTTTGTACTTTTCTTTTCTATTTTCTAGTGGTGACATAGCCAGAATGAAAAATCACAAAAATGTAAACAAGCATAATCAATAGTTGCATCATAATGATATGATGAGTAACAACAGTACAATAAAAGAATGAATACTGTTTTTATTATTAATGATAATATGACTTGATTATTTAATCAGTCACTATTACAAGTGAGGCTGTCAACGTCATGATCAGTTGACGCATAAACAATAATAATTATTTAGCTATCTGTTGCAATTTTCAAATTGTAAACAAACTTTCATTTATGGGTCTCAATAATGTAAA